ATTGAGTATGTTGCTGTGGGTCGGCGCCGTCAAGGTGATTCTGACTCAGAAATCCCGGCGCGGTCCTGCACCGTCCTGGTCATTGCTGTTCTGGCTAAGTTCCTTAGTGCGACCATTCTTGGAGCCACACAAAAGAGGAAGACCCAGCTCATTGAGAGTCTTCCTCCTTTTCGACGAGCCCTCCTTTACCAAACAGGAGGTCCTTTCTAGGAGTTGGTTCCTCCTGACATAGTGTCCACAGTCCTTGCGATGAAGTCTTCCCATCTTCACGTCTAAGGAACATTCTGGCTGTACTTCTTCCAACACAGATGTGTTTATTCTTCTCGCAGTCCAGGCTACTGTCAATATTCTTTGTCAGCACCATAAATCAAATAGCTCTTCTCCAGTTGTCCTCATTCGTTGTCCTGTTTGCACATGCATAGGAAGTCATTGCAAATATGATGAATTGAATAAGATACACCTTAGTCCTCAAAGCGACAGCCTGCTCTTCCACATACTCGCGAGGTCTTGTGCTGTCGAGGTGGTGGCTGTTGGGAGGTGCTGTCTAACGGTTCTGACCCAGAACACCCTGTGTACGACAGAAGGAAACGCGGCTCAGTCCTGCGCCATCCTCACAAGTGAGCCACTGAGGATAGGAATGAGAAAGGCAGAATTTTTTAGTATGGGGGTTTCAGACCCAGCCAAGGAGATTTTTTCCCCCTGTAGATTCTAGGGATCCAGTGACCACGAAGGCAGGAGAGTGGTTCAGGAAGACTGTTTGTCAGCATTTTCCATGGGAACGATTAGCACGAGAAGATATTGGCCATCAAATTATATGCTAATAAAACTTCTTGAAAATGGAAATGCAAAAGGCAGATACCAACAGGAACCACAAGGGGGAGATGCATGGCTTTCTGTTTCATCACTCACAGACCATGCATAATTTTAAAAAATTATAAATCAACGCAAACAGTGCAGCTGCAAATCTCACTCAGCATGCCCCTTTGTGTTCCCTGTTCTGAGGCAAGAAAGGCAATCTACATATTTATATATTTATGAGGATCTTTCTTTCGCTTCTCAGAGTGGTAACTTTTTTTTTTCATAAAAGAAACAATTGAATAAAAAGAAAATCCACCCTACTCATAGGCATAAAAGTTCAAAAGCTAATGGTTAGCTACCCAGTGAAGTCCCCCATTCCTATGTGGCCACGCACACAGGAGAGAGCGAGTGAGGCTGGGAGAGGCGGTGAACGAGACAAGAAACTAAAGTATGATCGCAGGAATATAGAGAGGAAATGATCTGAGGCTCGGAGATAGAAGGAGGGACAGTAGCTGTTACTAACAGCACCCAAAAAGAATGACCATGTAGCGGTGTAAAATGATTTATTTTTTAAATTAATAATTAAATCATTTTATTGGGGGCTTGCACAACTCTTATCACAATTCATACATACATCCATTGTGTCAAGCACATTTGTACATATGTTGCCATCATCATTCTCAAAACATTTGCTTTCTACTTGAACCCTTGGTATCAGCTCCTCCTTTTTTCCCCTCCCTCCCTGCCACCCCCTCCTTCATGAACCCTTGATAATTTATAAATTATTATTTTGTCATGTCTTACACTGTCCGATGTCTCCCTTCACCCACTTTTCTGTGCCAACCTCCCTACATATAACCAGGGAGGAGGTTATATGTAGATCCTAAAATGATTATTAAAGATAACCAATTAATAGTAATCATAATAATTCTCTCTCTTTTTCTTTTATAGGGAATTACATAAAACCAAGCCTCTAGAAACCATTTTAGGATTACTCCTTAATAGAAATTTATGACATTATGTGATGTCAATGCTGTGTGTCAAATATAGCCATATGTTTCAATTTATGCATGAAATTGCCTTTGGGTAAAAGGAATAAATTGCGGAAAATCTACATGTTTAAAGGACCCTACTTGCTGGCTCACTTACTGCACTAAGCTACTATTAAGAGTGCCATTCGAATCCCCCATTAATAGCCTCTTTCTATTCCCTTTTCTCTCTTGTCTTTATGATGTTCAAAGTCAGGAGGCTGGAAAGAGGCATTGTTGGTCATCCTTTCTGCAAAGGGGGAGGAAGCAGCCAGAGCTTTTTGGGCCCGCTGCTAGACCAATCTCACCCTGCAAGGAAGCGCACACCAGAGGCAGTGTGGGGACACCAGGTGTCGTTCGTTCTTTCCGTCTCTCAAGTAAAGTCTGAAATAAGAGTCTTCGGTCCTAACCTGGTATCACCTGCTGGTGAATGCGTTAGCATCAATTCTAGATGAGCACAATAAACAGAAGCTAACCTAACCTGAAGGCAAGTTAACAGAGCACCCAAAATGTCAGGGCCAGCAGCTTGTATCAGTTGGGTGGCTGAGTTGGGCTTTCTTCCCTTGTAGGGACTGACCACTAACAGCAGCAGCAGCAGCAGCAGCAGCAGCAACAGGGTCTTCCCAGCCCACTTGGGGTTGCTTGCCATCTTGAGATTACATGCAAGCATCCGTTTCTGGAGCCCTTGGCACTTGAAAGCAAGGGACTGAGGTGCCTTTTAAACCTTGAACTGACCCCACTCCTGGAGGCCTCCTTTCAATGAAATAACAGACTGGCTCATAAACTAAACAGTATCGCCCATGAGTACTGTGCTCCTTCCAACAAAAAATTGAGAACTCATCCCGCTGCGACCAGAGGGTCAACATCTACCCTAGATCAAATGTGAGAAAGTAAAGGGGGCGGGGCGGAGCAGGGAAGTCAGAGGAATGGAAACAAAATAAGCAGAACAGAAATACCAAGAAGGTTGGCACAGTATGGAAAACATAACCGATGCTACTGAGTCAAGAACCACGCTCACTGCCATCGAGTCCATCCGGACTCACGACGCCGACTCAGCCCCATAGGTAGGACTGTCACCTTCGCAGGAGGTGAAAGCGGCATCTTTCCCCTAATTAGGAGCGGCTAGTGTTTTCTAGCAGCTTGCATGGTTACAGTCCAATGTGTAAGCCACTATGCCACCAGGGCTCGCTCTCTCGCTCTCTCTTTCCCTCTCTTCCTTTCTCCTTCCCTCCCTCCCTCCCTATCTCTTTCCTGCCCTCTCACAACCCTGGAGTCAATGAGTTTCTGAGATCTTAATTCTTTACCGGAATAGAAAGCCCCATCTTTCTCCCCAGGAACAGCTGGTGGTTTTAAACTGCTGACCTTGCAGTTGGCATCTCAGCTTGTAACCACCACACCCCTGGGCTCCTAGGTCCCCAGTTACTGCTACCGACTACTAGGTATAAAAATTGTTAAGTAGGAACCCAATGTGCTGTGTTGGCTTTCATCAAAAACACAATAAAGTGTGTATATATAAATAATCCTTTTCTCAGTTATCAACTATCTGATTATCAGATATTTTACATTTTCGACAAAGGTTTTTCATTTTAAAAAAACAAGCCTACTATCCAACTATTTTGCGCATTAATGATGTACATCTGGCAGTAACAAGGTACAAAGCCGACTGGGATGGTTGTGATTGTCAGTTTTGCTGGCCATGATTCTCAGTGGCTTGGCAGTTAAGTGATGATGTAATTTACTATTTATGTGCCGATGTAGTCATCCTCCATTATTTTTTATAGATATCAAAGTTTATTAGTGGTTACTAGGGTCAGTATACAGACAGTGGGGGATGGAGGGTAGGAGTGATGGAAAAACTACATGGATCGGAATGTTAGCTTGCAAACAGATTCTTATAATTGCTGTCAATAAGGTTTAAACCTGTAAATAAGTGAATAGGCAAAAGTTGTGTGAAAAATATACAAGGGCGCTTCAAAAAGTTTGTGGGAAACGTCCATTATTTTCTAATTTATTTGCAGTCATCACTGGGGATATTCTTTCTGGCTTGCTCTTCCACCTGCATGACCAGAACCAGGGCCTTCCTGAACGCTTGCAGGAGTGAGCGGTCATTGGCATGCATGGCTGCGATGGGTTCTGCTTTGTTCTCAATTTTCTCCAGGTTGTAGTCTGGCTGCTTGATCATCTCAGGAGAGCTTAAGTCAGGTTGGCCCTTGCTTTGAGTTGAAGACATTCAAAGAGTCTTGGGGAGGAGGAACTGCTGGGAGCGCCAAGTACACCCTGCTCAGACTACTGGCGCTTCTCTGGCAAGTAGGAACCATGCTATCATCCTCCATTTTTTGAACTGATGTTATCATCCTCCATTTTTTGCATAATGCCAATGTTACATAACAACTTGGTCTTTGGAACCTAGCATATTGATAAGTGAGGAGGGGTATAAGTAAATAACAACAAAGGAATAATAATTTCTCTGTTAACCACAGCTCTCCTTACTTTTTTCCCTCAAGTACAGAAAATCCTCTCCATATAAAAAATTCACAAGATTTGTCAAAATCTAAGGTAGCAGGTTGTGGAAATACTGTCTCTCAACTCTTACTTAGATTATATGAATTTAATATTGAAAAAAAATGAAGCCATAACTGAGTTTTAGATATGCCTTTATGTGACTGTGAGTCCGTTTGCTTGTTTATTTCAAATGTGTGCCCAAAGGGATAGTAAGACTCAGAGCAGGCTCTTGTTCCGTATCACGTGGATTGGTTTGAAGAGGTGAGGAATTTGGAATTTTTGAGGACCAGAGGGAGAGAGGAGAGAGAAGTCCAGCGGCTCTGGATTGGCTTGCAGATGGCCCAGAGGAAGGAGGATTTCTTGCAAGGTAATTCAGGCACAAAGCCCATAGGCATCAACAAGCCCAAGTAATTTTGAAAAAGTAATTTTGGCGTGCAGTGGGAAAAGGCTTCATAGAAGCTGCAAGCCGCAATGGGGAAATGATAAGGTGATTTAAAATAAGATTTTTGGATTCTGGTACTAACTGTATCTTAATGATGGTAGGACTGCGAACAAGTCCCTTGTTGGTTGGGCTTCAGTCTACTCATCTATGCAATGACCATGATAAATAGATGTACAGCACATGAGGATCACATGAGATCATCCATTTGGATGGGCTTTCTAAAATGATACAGATATGGTCCGGATGCATGAGCTTATACATTTGATTCAGGAACAATAAGAAAAGGAACTGAGATGTTTAGCCTGAGGCAGTGGAAGAGAGGATAAGAAATTTGGAAAGGGTGCTGTTAATGGCAAAAACCTACCCTTTGTGAAACCCAGTCTTGCTGAGTTTGATCATTGGAGACTGTGGTGTTAGGTGCCAGTGAGTCAATTCCAACTCGTGGTGATTGTGCTAGAATGCCTGGTTAGAGCCATGGGTTCCCTTCCTTGGGGGGTCTTTCTCTTTGCTTGCTGACCCTCTGCTTGAGACTCTATCCTCAGAGCCAGTTTGTACGAGGTGGTTTTGCTCACTTAAACAGACTGAGAGAGCCTGTTGTGTTGGGGAGAATGCTGTTGGGGGAGAATTGTTCTAGGGAGGGAATCACAAAAGACAGAGGGAAAGTCAGGCTCCCTTGGGACAGGGACTTGGAAAGTTCCCTGAAGGAACAAAAGAGCAGGGAGTTTTCTGTGTCAACGCTACGTTGGGCTCATATCCAATCACAGATTCACCACCCTTTGTCTGGTTCCTTCTACTTCTTTCATGGACTTATGGATTCCTATTTAAATCTTTTTGGAGAACTAATGAGAAAGAAGATGGTGAGGTTTGAGAGAGCTGAGGTACATGTCTTTAAAAATTACTAATTAATTTTGCAATTGCTATTTGGCGACGGAGCCTATAGACAACAAAGCATATACAGATTCGACAGTTTCTACATATATGGCCAATGGCCATAGACTACAGTCTGTAAGTTGTGCACCTGTTCTCCCACTCCTTTCCTGAGTGGTTCCTCCCCCTTCACAAGGCACTGTTCCTGAGGGTCCTAGCTAATCTCTCCAGCGGCTGCTGTCAATCTGATCCAGGATAGGGATACAGGTGTAGTTGTGAGCAGAATGCGCAAGGCAGACACTTTCCTTTGTACTGGTTATGCTGAAGGGTTGTTTGGTTTTGAGAAGATTTCAGGGAATATTTTTGGTTCAAGGTTCAAAGATTATCTCAAGAGCTCATCTAGCCTTCACACTTCCAGTGAGTCTGGAGATAAAATATTTGGTTTACATTTTCTTCCTTTAAATTAGAATTCTTGTATAGAATTCTTTGATCCAAATGTTTAATAGTGGTAGCTGGGCACCAGCTAGTTTTGTTTTTGTCTCATGGCCAAGGAGGCAAGTGGTCACACATTTGAGGTCTATTCTTCAGCAACTAGGGACATGGATGCTCAGTGGTAGCATTCTTCTCTTCCAGGAGGGACCCAGGATTCCTGCCTAGCGCATCTCCTGCTGGGAGCCACCACCCATTGGCCAGTGGAGGCTTGCGTGTCCCTCTGCTGTTGAACAGATTTCAACAGAAAAAGAGCTTCCAGACAAAGAGTCACGAGGATGAGGGACCTGGTGATCTCCTCCTGAAAATCAACCACCGAAAACACCACGTCGCCCAACAGTCCACTCTGCAGTGGATGGTGGTGGTGACGCAGGGCCAGATGCTGTACCTGCCGCCCAACAATATCATATGGTGGACAGTGACCAGAATGAAACGGAGATGAGAAAGAACACTAGGCTACTACTGTAAAACCTTCATAACTCCTTATTGCACTGAGCATGACAAACACGTTTCTTTCTTCTTCTTTTCTTAAATCATTCTACTGGGG